GTAGAAATTGCAATCTGCATCGGCGTACAGTCGAGTTCGACGTACTCGCCTCTCGCAATTGAACGGTTTGAGTTCAGTGCGATCGAGTTAGGGGGCTTTTATCGAGACTAAGACGTTGAGTGTCTACTCTCTTTGCCTTCTGGCGGTAAAAGTTCCTGTTTGAGACGGCATCGTCCCAATTAAACCGGAGTTGATTTACGCCCAACTCCACAACGCGTTCCCGATTTCCGGTATTCGTCACTAATAGGCGTTTACTTACATCTGTAGCTTTTTTAAGCAAGTCCGCAACGACGGTTTGGAACGACGTGCTCGTCGCAAACTCGTCCGCGTTCTTCAACAGGTTTCGAGGACAGGTGAATCAAGCCCAACGTTGAGACAGTTTCCGGAAGGAAACTCAACGTTCGAGCAGCATTGAGGCTGCAGTCGGTCATTTCCCTGAAGGAAAGGGACCGGCATCGAGCGCGGCGATTGCTCGCTTCGCTACCGAATTTTTAAATCGTTCAGCTCGATAAGAGAAATTGATCTTCTTATCGAGCGTAGGAGGTACGAGGAATCTCGCTCCATTGATTAATAAATACAGTCCGCTAAAACACCTGCGAGCGGTAGCTACTCACAGGTAATACGTCAATAACACGAGTACACGTGTTCAATACGTATTTTCTAAATTACACAGAATAAACGTGAGCTGGAATTCCACGGGACCAGCAGAGCGAGAGTTGGGTCGCCGTCAAGCTCGTTTGGATTTTCTATTTTCTTTCAAATTGATAATTTGTATGGGTGCTGGGACCTTGTTTCTAAAATAAATCGGGTCCTTTTCCTTTAAATGTAAACCTCCCATCTATTCATTGAAATACCCGTTTCTCCTCCGGACTCCTTGTTAGGGCCACCTATTCCTAACAATGCATGTTTAAAGATTGACATGGTGTGCATGGCTTAAGAGCATTGCTCGGCCTGCAATTATTCACTTAATCCGTGTTTCGAGAATTCGATTACGAATTCTCGGAAATATACACGAAAATCAAAGAAATACAGACGGTTCCCGAGTATAAGAAAGGAAATAACACTTCTTATGCTCGATGCCGCGATGTAAACACCGCTCCGCTCGGCAAACGTTGGCCTCCGTGTAACGGGATTGTTCAAATATGAAATTTCGACGAAAGGTGTTTCTCTTTCGGAAACACCTTAATTAGAAAGAGATCGCGTATGCTCGATTTCTACGTCGCATCGCGGCGAAATAGCTTTCTTGGAAAGGAGACGCGGAGGCCCTCGTCATTCTGTTCACGATTTTGAAGCCGCTCGGATATAGATCAGTTCGATCAGAGCGATTTATCGTTCGACCGAGACACCGCTATCACGAGTGCATCTGAATTCGTACTTAGCGAAATATAGAGTCATCTCCGAATAGGAATAGTCACGTATTTACTGTGAATTCTCCTATTCGCGTGATTCACGTTCAGTTACGAATTATACAGGACGGGAAGATTACCTTTCCGTTGCTGACGTTTGCACTGATTATCAGTGTTGAAACAAGGATATGTCTTGCTTATACGTGTCCGAGTCTCGGACGTTCCCGTGACCCTTACATCTCGTTTGGTAGCTGGTCGCCGGTTGTATAATCCCGGTAGGGTTCTTCCAGACATAGTCCTGAGTATTTCTGAATCGGGACTGGTCATAGTTTGGAGACCAGATAGCCCTCCCGGTCAGAAGCTCCACGACGAGTATTCTGCAAAGGGGACTGACCATAGTTTGGAGGTCAGTTGAAGTCCGGCCTTACAACCCGGGCTTCCTCACGCAGAGTGGCTAGCTGCGTGAGCANCCTATATCCTGCGTAGACCAATCTCTCTACTCTAAGCTCCTCATTGACCACTATGCGCCAATGAGGTATTATATTGTCTTTACGCATGCGTTCTGCCGCCCTATTGGGCAAGCGGTATGACGTAAGATTGAAATACCCAATGAGAACAACTAGCTAACTCTATTGGCCCATATCGGCCTGTCAATCATGATTGGAAAGATAAATACGCAACCTTCTCTAATACACCACGCAGATGTAATATTCAGTTATCATAATTTAATTAACTTACTCTAGTACTCAAACAAGAAGCCCTAGCACCTTACTGGGCTCCTATATTCTCCGCAAGATACCTATACCGCCAGACAGACACTTAGCTCCTGTCAAACGTCCTTCCAACCTGTCCTCCTAACCTATTTCCCTGTGACCACCTATCCTCATCCACTTATAGATCCTTCATATAGTGCTTCACTTTATTCTCAAGTGCTTGTCATATACCATCATTACAGATAACGCTCCTGATTGTATCTTAAATAATTATCGGGTAATTGGCTGCACTCTTGTCTCTCTGAGAGGCAATAGCATTACCTACGTAGAAAGGTTAAGTAATTCAGCGACAAGTCTCCTTCTCCTATTACACATCATTATAAATGTCTACCTAATTTGAATTCTCGCGCTGCGAAGGCAATTGCGCGTCATACATCCCACTGACCTATAACTCAGCCAGCAGCATGTGATTGGCTCAGATGTACCAATCAACATGCACAGGTCTTTAACACATGCTCACTGCTAGCAGATTGGTGGATTCCTGCTACGTAATATCTTCTCTACCTATCTATTCGTCAGCACCCAACTAAATCATCGCTGATTAGTCAACTAGACAACCAACATGCGTGCGCTTGCGCACTTACACTCAGGCTGTGGATAACCACAATCGACATAACCTACAAACGTCAAACTATCAGGACAGCTGTCGTCTTCCTTTCGAAGATTCTTCCTTCAATCCTAGTATCCTACATGACGATCATTACCTCTCCCGCATCTACTTGCTGAGTAGTTAACAATTGCTCTAATCGCTCTAAGCGAGGCTAAGCGCAACTCCAAACGTTGCATTAATTTTTCATACTACCTCTTAGCTATATGAATTAGAAGCCTACTGTTGGTGATCCCTCTTGTTTAAACAGAATCATAACTGATCTCCAACAGTATAACTATAATACAGCAGCTTAAGCTTGCAAACTATATAGGTATATATTATAAGAGTTTCAGGCCCATTGACCCTATTAATATAAACCAACTCGAACATGATTATGTAGGGTAATCTATTTTATTTTATTTTACTACATGACAATGATACAAACCGTTTTTAAGTTCTTAACACTGACACCTTACCCATTACACATATATTTTCATACTTAACCTATACACTATTTATCTTACCTGTCTATGCGGAATTTATCGTATTTTGACATTCCCTATGTGATCTAATTAACTTAGATTAACTCCAACTAATCCAGGGCTTCTCCACGCTATGATATGTCCTAATCTGCAATGAATTACGTATTATTAATTTCTTACATACTCAGCATATCCTATCTACTATTTACCTATATCGTGTATCCCCCGTGTTCCCGTCTATATTTCCTCTCCCTTCTCCTTGTACCCTTATGTATAAATGTCTTGAATGAATGAGAGTATGAATGCTGTGTGGGCCGTCACTTACGTTAGGGGGGCTGGGAGTGCTCCGTTGTATCCGCGGTTATGTGTTTTCTGCGATGCATCTGGGGCTGATGTGTGCCTGGCACTGCCGAGGCCTTCCCTGCGTAAGTTGGCAGGGAATACCCCCTTCGGGCCCTGGCCAGGCATTGCACCTCGGATTGGGGTGTCGGAGCCCCAACTGTGTTGTCGAACGAGCGCCTCACGTGCGTGCATCCCCGTGAGGCTAAGAGTGGGCACAGGGTCGGCGGAGTACCGCCGAGCGTGGTGAGCCGTGGGTGTACCCCCCTGTGTGCTGCCCGTTCCCTGGTGCATAAGCGGTATCAACTTCAATATTATGGACTTCTTTAAAAAACCTGCAAAAACACACCTCGTCAAATCCACGCAAAACGTAGAAAAGGATGAGAATCACCTATCTACGTTTTTCAACAAGTCTCCTATTGGTAACGCTACCATCCTAGAAACCAGTAAGAATCTATCCAACCTGAAATCTAATACTGACCCTACTCCTACTGTTGAAGATCTGTCCTTAAGGGTAGATGTTCCTGAAAATACTGATATCTTCAATTCCTCATCCTATGCTCTAGGTCACACCCCTAGACACTCACTTAATCGCACTCCTCCATCAGGCAACCGTATCTCCAAACCTAATGACTCCTTCGCGAAGTCTCTTCCTATCTCAGCGTCATCTGCGAAACGAAAGAGAGCCACCATAAACTTAAGCTCTGAAAAAGATAAACTCAACTCCTCTAAACTATCACAGAA